TAATCAAATTAGAAAAATAGATTAAAGTAAAGAAACAAAAGATTTTCAAAGGGCAAAGTGAGATTTAGAATCCTCCCTTATCCTATGGAACAAAAGTAGTCTTGTAACTCATGGCATCAAACAACATAGAATGTACTATGGTATCACCTTTCCACAGTTGAGTTCGTACTGGTCCTGCACCTCATCAAGCAATGCTGGCCACGAGTCAAACTCAATATTTTTCCATGATGAAACTAATTCAAGAATAGGCTCCAGTTGCTCTGCAATTTATTGAATAGTTCTAGAAGATGGACTTCCAAGAGCAAAGCCAAAAAAGTTATAATTGAATATCCTTACCAGAGGAAGAAAACCTTGACCCATGTTCGGGTAACGTCTGCACGTTGTTAACCAGGATTTGCAAACCTGATAAAGCCTTATAGAGATCGTGGGGAAAACAGAAGGACAAAAGGGTCAATTGCTTATAATATAAAAATTAACCAGATAATTACAAGAAAATGTGAATTGCTAGATGCAGTACTGTCAGTTCCATAGGGAGTAACTTTCAACAAAGTACTAAATTTTATGTTTTAAGAATTGAAGTACACTCCATAATAAGTCTAATCTTATACATTACTCTTTTTTTTTTAATAAGAAACAAACTTTTGATTGATAATATGAAAAGGGAGAAAAATGTTCAAGGATTATGAACTCTCAATGGGGGTGAAAAAAGATAAAAAGACACCTAACAAGGAACGAAGATGTAGAAGGTACAAGAGAGTATAACAAATGATCTATTTCAGTCAAGAAACTATATCCCCTTAAAAACGATTTCAATCTCTAATATAAACTAGATACTTAGATTTCAAATAAATAGCAATATATTGCAGTACAATACCTTTGCTACCGGGGTGTCCACAGAAAAATTCTGAAGCATTTCAATTATATCCAAGATCTTCTGAAGAAGATGATGTTCTCCTTGATCAAGCAAAAGTGAAGAAACACGTTGATGAAGAGGAGCAAGTAACTTCACCATTTTTGCTATCATAGAAGGATTTGAATCCTGGGTAAAAGAGTTAAAACCCTAATATTAAATAACAGTATGTTAAAAATTAAAATATAACATAAATCACTTTGCAAAACCTTGTAGAAATTATATTTCCCAGCTGCTCTTTCAGGTAAAACGCAGTTCCCTTCATGCTCTAAACAGAGCCGTAATAAGTGCTCTGGTGCAAGTCTGGCGTCTAGACTTGACAACAACAAACCGCCAAAGTCTGGAGAACAACAAACAACAAACAAATATCAACTTCAAGGGTTCAAAGAATGATCATTATGAAATATGACCAACAGTCTTGGAGTCATGAAAACTCACCTTTAATCATCAATAAACCCGAATTATATGAACCAGAAAACGAAAGTAACCGGGATGCATCAGATATTTTGGAAGTTCCAGGCTGAAACCAAAGAAAAAAGTATCAGATAGTGAAGTTAAATAACATCCACGATGAATAAATCAGAAGGACAAAAGTGGAAAACAGAAAGCAAGAAGAATACTTTTACTATACTACCATTAAAAACCCATCATAATATCCAAATTCTTTCTGTGTGTGTTTGTGTTCAGAAGGAGACAAATTCAAAAGTATATTTAATGGCGGCAGTAAAAATATCCTTGAGAAAAGTGATGCAGAAACGTAACCAAAGCACTTATTACCTGGCGTGATTGAAAGTATGAGTTACCAAGAAAAGAAAAGAACAACAAAGCTCACAGCAATCTGTAATGAACTTACAGCTAAAACAAGATCAGGAGAGCCAAACAGCAGATTATGAATGTGGATCATCTGGTCAATCATAGACTCGTCCATTAGACTCCATTCATCTTCTGAAGTTTCATGTTGCTTGCTAGCTTCACCCTGGAAGATCATATATCATCTCAAACAATTAATGAATGAAAATAGTAAAGGATAAAAGATGCATTATATAATTGAAGATAAATCTGCAAGGGGTACCATCTCAGTAGTTTCTTCTTCAGAGAGTAACTCCATCTGCAAAGAGTTATCATTGTCTAATGACTCGTCAACATCAGGTTCAATAACCTTTTCAATTCTGAACACACGAGGTTTAAACTTGTATAATTGAGAGTCGCAGTCTTCTTTAGCTTTTGATTGAACTTTCATACTCATCCAAACATCCGCAAATACATTGAATATTTTATCCAATAGCTGACGAGTACATACCATAAATAAGATTGTTAAAAATCAGGAACAGGGAAATGAAAAAGCCATCAAGACTTGTATGATAAACTTATAAACATTCACAAATCTAAAGTAAAACATTGCAACAAGAAGCTTAACCAGAAAAGATGAAGTATCCATCAGCCTGGAGTCAGCAACAACATGTGAAGCACGGACTAGAATATTGTATTGTAGAGCACTTTTAAGTTGTGAAGTGCAGGCCTGTTATCAGAGTAGATGATATCAGAAATTGGATCATCATTAATTTCCTAAAAAGTAATAGAAAATACGGACCGTATCATTATCTATAGTTCCTCTCGAACGAATAACCGACTTTTCCAGCAAACCTTCCATTGCATATAACAAATCTGCAGCAGCACTAATATCATGGAAAGAAAATCCAGCCGATCCATTGTTTAAATCAACAGATATCTGATTGGAAGGAAGCACTCGTGGGAACCGCATAAAGGAATAAATTGAATTCTGGCACAATTCTCAAGATCAGCATCTAAACTTAGTGAAATCAATTATGCAAAAAAAAAAAAGAAAAAAAAAATAATAAGGAGAAGAAGAAGAAGTTTGAAAAATAATACCATAACTTGCTCCTTGTTATGCTCTTCAACTACACTAGGAAAGCACAAGCTTGATAAAACAAGAGACAAGCCTAGTTTCATTTCATAAACTGCCAGCTGAATGGGTTGAATTATATCAAGATATCCAGTATATTCATCCGATAACCGATCAATAAAGCGAGTAGCCATCTCCTGTGTAATCAAACCGTTTAATGTAAAATCTACCAAAAAGTAACTAATATTGTTGAGAAAAATAATCAACTATATAGATGCAACAAATACCTCCCAGTTGCGTACTCTGTCAATTTGGTGCGAGTCTGTTGCTTCAATATTAGTTAAGAAAATATTAACAAACTCAAAAAACTCCTCACACTCATGTTTCAACTTCTTAAACTTCCCGGGTTCCACACGAAAAACAACCTGAATAGAACAAAAAGTCACCACGATGACAGACCAATGACTAAAATTAAGAATCTCTCCAACTCTAAACAGCTGTAAATAAGTATCTACTTCTTAGCTTCCGATATATAGTTAAATAATGCTATTCTCCAGTTTAGTATTAAATATGTTTTTCTCAAACTAAAATTTGATTGTATTTTTCACAATGATGCATTATAAGTATTTTCCAGTACGATATTACGGCAAGTTGTTTCTAAAGTTAAAATTGATAGGAAATGACAACAAGCCAAAGTTTGGCTGCGAAACATTATCTCCTGCAACGAAATCAAAGTAAAAACAGACCTTTTTCTGCAATTTTCTACACTCCAGTTCAAGATTTCCAGATTTCTGTTTTCTTTCCTTATCAGCTTCTCCCACAATTGAAAACAATCCTGCCAAAAGTTCACACTCTTGCCGCACCTGCAACAACATTGTGTAGCAGCTTCAACTTATCATCTAATAAAAATGAAATATTGGCTTCTAGTTAATTTAGGAATGAGGGAACATAGGCAAGCCTAGGGAAGCAGTTTCACTCATTACAAAACCCCAAATAGCCACAAACAAGAATTGATGTCATTTTCAAAATTATTAATTCTAAACAATTGTGACATGGGTTATTTTAAAGGCATAAAACTTCGTTGACACATTAAAATAAAATCTGAGATTTTTGAATCATAGTAAAAATGTAATAAATGGTACCAAAAAAACATGGAATATACAAAACGTACATTATCTTTAAGGACAAAATAAAATTCTAGAAAATTTTAATTTAAATTAAAAAAAACCAAACTTTCATTAAGAAACATGAAAGAAATACAAGCACATACAAAAAATGACTCCAATCCAAAAGAAAAAAGTCTAATTGATATTTAATGGTCACCCTTCAGAAAGGAAAAGAAAATGCTGTGGAAGAACTTCATTAGAGCCTTTTTTTGGATCATTTGGAGAGAAAGAAATCAACGCACTTTCAACGATAAATCTCTCCCATTTGACAGACTTTTTGGAAATATAGTCTTTTTAGTCATTACTTGATGTAAATGCTCTCCATTATTTCATCACCATAGCTACACTTCCCTTTTAGCTAATTGTAAGTGCTCATGTAATCTCCTTCTTGTGGGCTTTTGTAATTTCATACATCAATGAAATTGTTTCTTTCACCAAAAAAAAAAATTTGATATTTACAAAATGACTTAGAAACGGATGCCCAAAAGGAGAGTTGAAACTTTGTTTAAAAGATATCTTAAAATAATACCTGAGTTTCGACTTCAAGTGAAGATTTCTTTTCCACTAATTGCGAATATTTGTAATAATATTTGATGGAAGGATCCAAATGACAGCAACTAAGCAACAGATACAATCGCAACTCTCCAAGTCTTAACCACACACGACCAAGTTTATGATGCAGATCTTACAAAAAGATGAGAAGAAAAGTTGTAAGAAAGCACAATGAAACAGGAAAAAAGTAAGCAATTCCATCATTAAAGCTAGATGTCCAGCCAACAAACTAATAAAGTCACAGATCTGCAGGAAGGTTAACCATATACAAATAAGATAAAAGAGAAATATCATGGTAAAAACTTCTCCAGTGGCCACCTAAACTCAAAGCTACATAAATAGTTCATCCAAAGATAAGATAATGAGAGAAGGCAGAGAGGATATCCCTCCATGATCCTCACTAGTTATTTTATGTGAAGCAGTTGGGTTGGACTAGGATCACCCTTCCGTTCCAGTTCTTTCATTAGATTCTAAGACTATGAGAGGCTTTCAGTACCTGGTGGATGACGCCTAAGTGCCTGTGATTGTTGGCCCTAGGCTACAAGAATCTAGGATCTTGGCAATCAACTTACCTTTCCCCCTCCTGTAAATTATAAACCTACTTCTTAGTATTTGATAAGGATATGTGGCTTTTAAGGAATAGGAGAATCTTTTAAAACTCATCAAATCATTGAGCAAAGAGGGATAATCTTCTCAGGCCATTATTTCGGCTACTACTACCAAAGAGTTTGACAATGCCCCATTATTTATGGCTTTAATTAATTAGAGATCTTTTTAATCTCCTCAGCTCTAAACATGAGCCTGGGCCTTCGTATACATTTATTAATAAAAAATTTAGTTGACATAATTCGTAGAGATATGGTTATTTGCTTACCTGTTGAGATATCATGAGAAAAGAGATCTTTAAGCAGCGGTTCAATGAACAAATGCACAGAGTTTTTCAATCTCCGTTGGCTTGATTTTGCAACAAGGGAGCAAAACAACTGAATGCTTTCTTGCTGCAAAAATATAAGCTAAAGCTTTTAGGAAAAATAATGGATCACATTCGCAAAACCCGTGGGAAAAAAGGGGTGTAAAAGGATAAAAACAATTATTTACAGAACAGGGTTTGCAGTCTACAGCAGATGTAAAGAAACATGAAAACAAGACCAAGCATACACAACTAGTTTAGGAATCTATATGAAAACGTTACATTCATTTTTATCTAAATTCGATAATCATGTATCTGACTCAAGGAAAAAAATGTAATCCCAACTCATTTATTATTACAGATTATACAACTAAATGCAAGGTACCTCCCTACACAGGTTAAGATTGATCCAAGTTGTCCCTCTTTTTGTATTTTGTTCCTTATTTAATACACTTGTTTCTCATCATTTTAAACACACCGAATATGTCTCTTACTTAATAATTACTAGGGTAAAGTTAAGGGTGAAAGACAAACAACACAGCATCCATGAGCATGGTATTAATGGGATCTTTTGTAAGGTAACACAAGTCAATAACTTTTCAAAGAGCATACCGGAATTTTGTCCTTCTGAAAAAAACTTAGAAGGGACTTTATCTCAACAAATTGGTCCGCATCAAAAGATTTTTCATGAGCATAGATAATCTGCAAGCACCCGTATAAAAGGGAGTCAATTTAAACTCTCACTTTCATATATGAAACATAGGATCTCCAGATCAAAGAAAATCAAATCTACCTGCTGGAAAAGATTACAAGCAGCAGATAAAAGTAAAGTGTGCGCATCTGCTGCCTGCGGTGGTCTGTGCCAAAGATAACAAGCTGCTACTTGTATCTTCAAGCGTTTAGAGAAGAAGTCTCTGATAGCAGAAGGGCGCCATCTGAATGAAGAGAAAAATCATGAAGGATGCATCATGCAAAATTCTAACATAAAGAGAGAATCTTTCCAAGTGCATGTCTATTTAGTCCCAGCCAAGGCACTATCTTTAAATGTGAACTAGTGTTTTGAATCTAAATTTTCCTTCGGCAATAAAAGCCCAAAGAGATAGTACTTCGTATAAAACTCGTCAATAGTCATAACCATTTGTCCAGATTCATTCCGGAAGAACTTTATTTGAAGCACACTTCTACCTATATATTACCCTCCCTTCATTTTGAAAGCAGTCCTTTTTTACCTTATCAAACTTTATCATGAAAAGAAATCACCATCCCAAACACTTCAATTTCTTCTATTTTCCATCCAGCCAATATCATAATTTCTCATAGCCGGATACCAAACGTATTAGTAATGTTCACTCCATTAAAAGGAAAACCTGGCACCTAAGTGAAGCATAAGAAAACATGCCTACTCATGCAATATTTCCCAAATTTTCAGTATCTGAAATGAAAAAATTGTATCATTATCCTTTTTTAATGATGAGAAACATGTAGCATTTCATTGATATGGTGAAATATTTTAAAAAGAGGAGAAAGAAATCCCATGCCAAGGAGGCTACAAAAAGGATCTCCAAATGACCAAGAGTGCGGTTAAACTGTAGCTATGAAAATATGAAGAATGTCCGCACAATGAATGAGCAAAAAAAGATATATCATTAGGGAAACTATCAAAAGATTTTCCTTTATCGTGGAAGATGTGGTGGTTTGTTTCTATCAATGTAGACCAAAGGAAGGCTCCAACAAATTTGATCCATAGGAGCTTCATTTCTCTATGGAACAGGTGATCAAAGGAAAGCTCTAACAAAATTGCATCATTTTCAGCCCAAAGGTTAAAATGTTGACATCAGAATGTTGCTTGGATGTGTTTTCTCAATTTGCTCTCAAGAACCACAAGTCCTAAGAAAATCAAGGTAATTTGACATCTAAAAGTCTGGCCTAAATAGAATGGATGGGATTTAAAAGATACATCTGAATCCTCTTCTTCCTAGAGATGATGCAATTTTTTACTGAATTTTGTTTTGAACTTTACATTGTTCTTAGCTTCGTCTTACTAAGAATAGAAGCAGAGTTCTTTTACAGAAGTTTGGGAAACTGTTGCTCAAATCACAGGATAGTTTTCTTTTCTGGGAAGGGGCATCCCCGTCCCTGTCCTTTGGGCTGTTTTGTTTGGTCACTTTTGTTTCAATGAAAGTGTTTCTTATTAAAAAAAAAAAAAAAAGAAAAGAAATCACAGAATAGAATAAAAGTTCTCCCGACAGAACACCCATTTAATTTCATCGATATCTAGATGAAAAATACATAAACTTACAGAATCTGGGAAACTGTTGCTGAAATCACAGGTTGTACAAGTACGTGAGGCACTGGAGTTTCATAATCCACAACCTTTGAGAAATTCTGCATACAAGAAAATCATATAAAAGATACCAAATTATATACCGAAGGTTCATATTGATAATCAACCATATAATGTACACCTCTACCTTGACAAAATCAGGGCAATGAATCCACAAAGACTGATGCCACCTAAACCACATCTCGAGAAAAAAACTGGCTGCCTTTGTACACACTGAGAAGCAAGCAGATCAAATTTATAAGTAATAGAACCATATACGTGTGCTAGAATGCATGTGAGGTATTGATCCGGGGAAATTATCCTCCACTTAAAACCCAAGCTAATCCCCATGAAGAAAGAATTTTATTTCCATGATACAAATAAAGCCAGTCTTCATATTTCCGTCCACTATCAAGCATATAAATAACATAAAGGAGAAAAAAACTGTAATATAACTGTTTAAACCTGTATCCGTAGGATCCCACTCATCCAGAGTCCACAGCATATTTTGATGCGCACTAAACATCTGGGGAGATCTTGATGAGAATTTCAATGAAAAATGTAAAGTTTCCTTAACGAGGTTGGATAAGCCGCATAATGACTATCATCAAAGCAAAAAAAATCATAATATAAGTGTTTGCAACTAAAACTTGGTATTGTCATAAGCTTTTAAATTGTAACACATGAAAAATGTGAAAACGCATCAAATAGAAGAACTAACCACAGTAGAACTATAACAGGCATTTGTAAAATACCAAGTTGCAAATTGGAACAAACTTCTGTTTAATCCTGATCAAAGTCTTATAAATTATAGAGCAATAAGAATAAACATTTTAAGAAAATCTAAGACAACAGATCAAAATTTTATCGTTTACAGTTAACAAGGCTTAGATAAATGAGCAGTTGCAAATTATACAAGTTCCTTGTCATTAAAGAACTTGATTGTGGCCGAGCTTCAATCTGGTGGCTGCTTCTGTACATATTATAAATAAAGCTAAATTTAAAATGAGAATAAAGAATGAAGCTGTTAAACTTACTTGCTTCAGTCTTTCCCGATCAAACAAAAGTATTGATGAAAGCTCACGCAGTAACAGCATATCGAGGAAAAAACTAGAACTGTCATTCATAGGAAGAGTATCCAACCAAACATCAGGATCTGCCTCTATAAATATGTCATAGCCAGAAGGCCGACAGACAAATGACATTTCTTCCTGAACACGATGGTCCTTTGATTCCAGAATTGCCTTTGCATTGTTCTTCTCATGTTCAACTCTTACCAAGAGCATCTATTATACAGAAAGTAGATTTCCTTTTTCATTTAATGATAAAATTAATTTGTACAAGAAGTAAATAAGAGATACAAACCTCATAAATGTCCTGCAAATTCTGAGCAACATCATCTTCATCAACTTTACCAACTATACAAGAGGACATAGAAAGACCTACAACAATACAAAATGAAAAAAAAAATAAAATCAAATCAAAAATAAAAAAACCAGCTGCATAGCTTCAATTTACCAAAAAGAAAAGGAACTCATACTAAAATTTTATAGTTAAGAAACATCGTGTTGGCAATGTGAACTGTTGTTACCAAGAGGGTGAAAAAAACCAAATGAAAAGAAATAGAAGGATTTTCAGAGTCAAATAAAGAGCTAGCGGATGATGAAATATGAACTGTGGCTCGCTCTAAGAAAGCTGAATTTGAGGTTTTCCATACCTATTTTTATTCCCTAACCGTTCAGTAGGCAGAAGGTAGCTGTAACTACTTTTGTATTTTGGTGCTTTGTTTCTTACGCAAGTAAATTTTAAGCCAACAGTCCAATCCTAATGTAGCAGACAAGCATCTTTAGAGTACATTAAGTTTAACGCTTTCCTTCTAAAATTCTGGTTTTCAATTTGTTTTAGTCAAACAATAAGTTAAAAGTTTGTTGTTTCATTGAAAAAGGAAGTCGGCTCTCTTGGGTGCCCTACTCAGTGTATAATGTGCAAACTGAACTATGAAACAGGTTTTTTTTCTCAAATAAGAGTATTTGAAACAGCCAAGGAGAAACAGCCTCACAAACAAAATTAAAATAAAATATCCCATCTCTAAAATGACAAGTGAAAACTTGCCCAGAGAGAGATTAAACATAACTGGACTCTACATCTCCTCACAAGAACCCTCTACGCCTAACAATATCCTTCAATTCCTTTCTAGCCAAAAAATTGAAGCAGTGCACCATTCATTTTACATCTGAGTGGGAATTTTCATTCAGACAGACTTTTTTGGTGGAGAAATCAAAATTTTGAAGATAAGCTAGTTAAGATTTAGTTAACAGAGGAATGGAACAATCTGTTGGCTTAATTCACGATTATTCAGGTTTCCTTTTCAGGTGGAGCATTGAATTTACATAATCCCCTGGTTTTAATGTGGAAGAAAAGAAATAAGAAAAAGGTACCAGTGCAATTCTAGGTATCAAAACCAAAATTGCCTACACGCGAGCACATGTACACAGGCATTATTTTACGTGTCCTACTCTATTTCTTCCACTTATAAAAGAGACAACCAAGTTCTGTTTTGCTCCATAAAAAAAAAGACTGTACTGTAACGTAAAGTCCCAAGGAAATATTGAAGAATCCTACCTTCCATTGCAAGGCAGCGTAGCTCAGGATTGGATGATGCAATAACTTCAATTAAAATATCCTTCCCTGCTACTGTTGAGACTGCATAACAAAATGAAAACAGCTTGCTAAAAGAATATAGAAGAACATATAAGTACAATACTGATGTAATGTTTAGTTACTAGAATATAGCCGTTGGTTGTTAGTAGTTAAAACCTTTTATTATTTATAGTTATTATAGCCGTTGGTTTTATTGGTTAATTGGTAGTTAGTTGGCTTAGCAACCTACAAAAGGCCAAGCCAAGTCTGTTGAAGGAATAAGAGTTTCTTCCAAGTTTCCATTCTGTTGGTTTACACCAAATACTTTCTTATTTTTCTTACAATAAAGAGAAAAGAAAGCTGCAAATGAACATAAATTGTCCAGAATAGAGAATCAAGAAATCAAAGCCCCTTACCTCTATCGTGTAATTTTATCTTTACTGGCCATACACATTCACACAGTCTACAAAGTTGCTGTTGCTTGTAATATAGGTCAGCAGAAGAAGGTGAAGGTGGGTGACCACCATAAATCCACAATAATGACTTCTCCGAGAGAAATGACAAAGAAGTCCTTTCAAGTTTCTTACTCTCCCTCTAAGTAAAACAAAGAAAATCCATTAGCTAAAGAAGAATATTCATGTTCACCTATCTTTCAAATTCATTACCAGCTTACCAGTATGACTTCAACGGCATCTGGAAAGAAATCCTTGAATCGAAGGACATCTTTAATCAAAAATCGTCCAGAAACTTGTAACTGCTCAAAATTCAAAGAGACAAGTCCATCCCAGAGTAATATGTGATCATCAAGAAGAGTGCTGTAAGACTGAATAAGCATACTAAAAGAAGCAGACTCAACAAGCTTAGAAGATGGATCTACAAGCTTGCAAAAGATTTCCTGCTCCAGTGCTCGCAGAGATTTCAAAACGGGTAAGAGCCCTCGAGTTTCATTACTTAATTCGTGGCTGCTTTCAGCATTCCATTGTCGATAAGTAAGCATTAAAAGACCTATGCAGTTGATAGCATTACGTAGGGCTGTGCAGGACAACTGAAGCTCATCTTTTGACAGTTCTAATTCGTTTAATTCATCATTCTTATCTTCACCCGTCATAGCAACTATCTCAGATGATAAAATAGGCATTGGATGAACATCAAAATCTATTCCGAGACGAGATTTGATCTTATAGCGAAGGTGACAGATAAAATTCCACAATGGATGCTCCATAACCTGTTTGATTGATGTCAAATAGAAATTGAAAAATTGGCAAAGTGGCTGCAATATAGAACTAAACCAATCAAACCAGGTGATATAGAGCTCAATATCCATTTCAGATGCTTGCTCGATTGCCCAGTTGGCAGCAAAAAATAACTTATTATTAGTCAATTTCCAGTTGAATTCATTTTGCACTTGAGAGCTCAATATCATACTGTCTGAAGCCTTCGGAAACAATAATTTCTTTAACATCTTCAAATCCATTAAATATGTCCGTGCATATCCACAAGCAGAAAAATTACCGTCAAGGGGATATCCCTTCCTAGCAACTCCAAGTTCATGTAATGCACATCGAGCTCCAAGAAACTCCAAATACGTACAATTCTGCTTTACGCAGGCCTCTTTTGAGTGCCAGACATAATCTCTCAATTTTATGGGCATTGGCCATCCTCCAGGATAACAAAGAGATGCAATTGATACATCACATTTAGAGAGGCATGAATCTGATAAATATAAATTTTTTGCATTTTGGACAATATCCATCCCCTCAGCCTCACCAAATGAAGAAAGATAAGTATGCTCCCAACTTACTTGAAGGCTCCACCATGGTTTACAGCCATGCATAATAAGTTGCTGGAACAGCTGCACCCAGCGTGCAAGTTCAATGTACGTTAAGCGAACATTAAGGTGAGAACCTTCGTCTCTTGCATAGACATGAGAATTTGCCATGGATTCAACCAATTTGGTGCCAGGAATACCAGATAAAGCAAGAAATCTCCGCGTGTCATTCAGTTCAATATCTTTCTTACTGCACTGAGCTCCATCTTGCAGCCAATGAGGCTGTAACATGAATATTTCCACCCCCCTATTTCTCATTGCACGAGAAACCTCTCCATGAATTGGATTAACAGTAAGGAATATCCGAAAATTAACATGTGGGTGTAAGACTAGCGGCTCCCCATCAACAGTCCCGCATTCATTAATAGTAATTGATCCACAAGACTCCACCAATGAATTGATTCTATCAAGTACCTAGTAAACAAAGAAATAGGAAAATGAGAAGAAATCAACATATGCCAACATAGCCGAAGAATAAAGTAAAAAAAAAATGGCTGTTACACAAATTATTATGATAGCTCTAACTTACAGTGGGGTTACACAAATTAGCATTCTTAAGGATGATCCATTCTCCACGTTCTATAGCCTTGACTAGTATTCCGATCACCCATTCGAACTTTGCTGAAAATGGCTGTTTTTTATCACTATCTTCCAACTTTGAAACCATCTTCAAGCATCTTTCAAGATCCTTTTTGGCTGGAACATCTTGAAGGTATGACATAAGTTGTTTGATGATATCAACTAACAAACCAAGAGAATCCACAATTCTATTCCAATTCTTTGCATACACACAAGCAGAACTTGTTGCCAACTGGAAGCTGATTTTTGATGAAAAAGAAAGCCATTTAGTCATTATACCGTTTCCATTTCTATCAAACACCTTCATGGAAGATTGTATTTGCACACTACAATATTTGTTGACATGATAGCCAACTTGATCAACAACATGTCGGAAATTCCGAATGGCATCATATTGCTCAAAGCACCCAAGCAATTCTGATATATCAGTTGTGGATGAAAGATTGAGCTCATTAAGTACATTTCCAGTGAGCTGAGCAAGCAACCTTATGAGAGAAGTTTTGCCAGATGAAGATGAACCAACCAGAATGCACATCCATTGATGTTGAATGCAATGTGCAACAGCTTCCAAGTTTTGACGAATTCCTGCCAAAATCTTAAGCTGACTGTTCGCTATGCTACACGCTTGAATGCTATTCCTTTCAATGGCAATATTCCCCACAATTAAATACTTTGAATTAAGCTGAATTCGTGGATAAGGATTTATAAAAGGTTTTTCACCAAATACTTGCTCATAAAGCCGCAGAACTTCCCTGCGATCATCAGGTGTCCGCATCCGCTGAATGTAAACAATGTTGAGGAAGCAATAATTTCTTAATCTTTCCGGTGCACCTTAAAAAAAATTAAAACAGAAAAGCTTTTAGAGCACAGATCTATGCATAAGAATCAACCAAGTACAACCAAAGAGGAGCCCAAACCTTCAATAATGTGACAAGATCGAAGAACATCACGAAGATTAAACTCCCAAGGTGACCCATTCTGAGCAAATTTTTTATATAGCATTACTTCTTCATGCAACTTTTTATTGAACAAGATCAATTTAGATAGCAAAGGCTTAGGGATTGATTCATAAAGTGAGCTACAAATGAAAAGATAGTCATCCTCAACCAACTCATCCAAATAAACCTGAAAACAAATTAAAAAACAGTCTGAAGTCTAACATTTATAACATGATAAGGAATAACTATTCAAACTGTCAAGGTACTGATGAAAATACCTTAGTGAACCGATTGAGGAATGACTTAGGAAGGCCTTTCCTTCCACCTCCTTGAGATGAAGGATTTTGACATGCAAAAACTCTAAAAGATGGTGGACATTTAAACGTAAGTGCCAGCTCGGGAATAAACACCTCAGCTCGATGGTCCAATATGGCATTCAGACCCTGCAAAAGAATTTCCATAAACAAAATATTACTCTGCTTTTTCCATCTCTATTAAGAGGAAGAAGGTCAACTGTGAAATAAATTACTAATTAGAGAGAGAAGAAATTATGGGATCTTCAAACCGTGCCTCTAAAACTGATTGTGGAGCAAGATTCAGTTCATCCAGCAAAACCCAACAGCCTTCCTTCAGAGCCTACAGAAAAATGGGGGAAATATTATATACTAAACTTGATGACATGATTATTTCCAATACAATGGATCCTAACCTGCAACAAGATCCCATCAGACCATGCAAACTTTATTCCCTCATCACTCTCTACTGGTAAATCGGACCCCAACAAATCCATCATATCAGTCTGTACCACAAATATGATGATGACAAAAGCAAGATAGAGTATGAATTTGGTATATGTCAGATGATGGTCCGAATAAAATATCAAAATAGGTATGTGAAAAATATTACCTGCTCAGACAAATTTATACGTACAACTCTATGTCCAGAAAATTGTCCCAATGCCACAATCAAACTCGTTTTCCCAACACCTGGACTACCCTCTAGTAAAACTGAAAAGTACAGTTCCATTCAGAATGCTTAAGTTTGAGAATCTCATAACAAATAAATTAAGACACAAGTCTACTTGGACAAACCAGGCTTTGAAAGCTGCATAGCCCGCAGTACTCTTAAGGCATTTTTGTGGGTTGTTGGTGCCAAAAACTCATATTTACCACTATCATGAGGTAGACAGCCTATAAACAAAGCCACTATTGCTTAGCTACAGCCGAAAAAATGGACATTTCTACATCATATGGAAAAGGAACTGATTGCAACTAAACTACCATAAATTAATTGAAAACAAGCCATAAGAAATAACAGAAGCATTAATTGAAAACAAGAAAATCAGACTTTAGCATCGCTCCCATAATTATAAACAGATGAAAATGTATACCTTTTTCAACATAGAATGGTTCAATACCAAAGAGATTGTCGTCTTGCATATAGTCAGTGTTCGAAACATCTGCAGCTAATCTAAGCTCCCCCCAGCCATAACTATTGAGTCTCACAAGTTTCGACCGTTCAGGTTTAGTGTCGTCTAACTGTAGCAGGAGAAATAGTGTCCATCAAAATCCAGTGCTTAAAGCTGGGAAAGAAACGCACAAAAAGGGAGGAAGAGGAAACCTCCCATCTAGCCAAAAGAGTATCAAAATTCAATTGACTTCATAAAAAAAAAATAACTACAATACTCATAAGAATACACCATCTAAACCCACAAATTAATTCTACCAAAAATCTCCTGTGGAGTTTTAAAAATTTCATCAACAGTTTGCCAAGCTTTAAAAAGAATAAGAAAGTAGAAGGGGCATGGTCCTTGTTTTCTCCGCTAGCAACTACCTCCCTTCTTTTTAACTTTTTGCATTATATTCTAGCTGCCTTTTGTGCCATTTCTTGTAAGTTCTAAGAGCAACTTCTTTTCCCTTTATGAGTTTTTCTGTTTCCTATATACCACTGATTTGATGAAATGGTTCTTGGCTTCCTATAAAATATATATGTTTTTTTATTTACATATTTCAATTACTTTTCATGGAGAAGCATATGATTCTTTTAATAACAAACCGAACTTTCATTGAAATCAAATGAAAAAGAATAAACAAGGGCATCCAAAAAATTAGTCTGACAAAAGAGAATCTTCTTTAAAAAAGGAACCCCAATCCAAAAGAACTAACACCTAGAACCCACGAATCTTTAGATATGACACTATATATCGCACCCCCAAGAAATTGAAGAACTCAACCTGACTATCGAGTAAAAAGAAGGTATAGTACACATCCAAGAAGCAAAATTATCAAAACAATAAACAAAACAGGGGGTTGACAACCTTTAGTTTCTCCAAAAGGAATGAAAAGCATCTTTCCCGCAATTCTTCTGCATCTCTTTTTGACATACCTGTTCCTGAGAATGAATATAATAAAACGATTCTCGTTATGGAAGAAACTAAACATCTAGTTCCTTTTACTTCTAATTCCTAAACAACTTGAAAGGGAGAGGTTCATCAACTTATGCAGCCTTTTTAGTAAATGAAGTTTTTACCAATAATAATACAACAGAGAACATACCCGAGGTTGCAATTTTCCATAGCTCAGAATCATTTCTCTCCGATAGGCGAACATCATCAGAATAGATAGAAGAGAACTAAAAGCACTGAATTCATGGAACTAATGGAAAGTTCCATAGAGCATTTAAGTTCCTAAGTCGATGAACTAACGAAGGGTTTTAATGTTATTCACCCATTTTCTATTAGCTCATCTAAAATATGTGTCCCCTTGGCTTCATGTTGTATCTTTACCCGTTTTTACTCCACTTTCTTCCCACTTTTTCCATTTCATTACTAATATTCCATCAAACTTAGTTCCTTATTAGGCATTTCAACTGAGTTTGTCCATGAAGATGGGTTGTACTTATAAATATACACAGGAAAAATAAGAAGTGTAAAGATATAGTTAAATAGTGAAGAAGTCAAATATTTAATGTTAATTCTGGGTTCCCAAGCATAAGCATAAATAGCCCATAAAACATCATTAAAGAACTGCAAGGTTTCTAGCAAACATGTAACGCTGCAGGAATTACCTAAACTTAAACCGTCTAGCAGAACAAGGAATGCTCCATGAAGGAATGCATATTCAGGCCCTAGATTCCTCTCGGTTGAATCAATAAAGGCAACCCAAGAAAGTAGATCTCTTACTGTGAGCACTCTCCCTGATCGAAGCTGGTTAAACCACTGTAATCAACAGAAATAAATTATTTAATAAATGGGTACGAGAAACAAACCAAGCTGCAGGATTGACGTAATAAAAGGTGTTTTCTTAACTTGCGGTAGCATCTGAAACAATTATAGCTGTCAGATATTAATCAATCATGATGGTTAGTTATCTGTTGTTTAGCATCTCAAACAATAATAGCTGAATATGTCAGAAGTCAATTGAATTTTAATTTCATCACTGAAAATTTTTCTTTCCTTCATAAAAAGGAAAGAAGGAAAAGGGAAAAAAAGGAACATACTCTTAGAAAACGATGATGGGATAACACAGATGGTAGGACTTTAAATTAATACTAACCCATTAATATGTGAAGAATAAGCTATACTCTGGTTCCAAAAGAACAAATTTCATTCATATAGCAAGGAAACATACCTCCCAAAAACTTAGCATTAGATCCACGAGATGTGTAACTCTAGGATTGGAAATCCTGTAAACATATATGCTAGTAAAAATCACGGAATATTTGATTAAATATTGCTGCCATGATAAAAAGACGCAAAGAACCTACCTTGTCAGAGCAATACTTCTGAGCTCGTTCAGCTCCCCAACAGGAGGAACCCATATCTCCGTAAACCTATTACGAAGAGCTGGAGATAGCTCCTTCTTACCATAATCACCACCAGGATTCATAGTTGCGAAGAGAAAGAACTCAGGGTGAGCGGTCACTGTTTCCAGAAATTGTCCTCCTTTCTCAGCCAAAGCCTACAAATGTTCATCACAATGTAAAATGGAGCAACACTTAAAACAACTTGGCAAGTATTACAATAAACTTATAACTACAGATATAGCAGAACTCATGAAACAAAAACCTGTATGTACTGCAAAACATTTACACCAAAAGAGACTGATTACTAGTTGCAGAAAGATCCAAATGGAATCAAATCTCATGCTGTCTACCTATCATGTCGTCGGCTATGTAAGACAATAAATCTAACTTTCTCAGCACTAGTCAAAACTATGAAACAGCAGTCAATAATATTTTACTTTTTCTCTTCTATTTTGGTGCAGAAGGGTGAGGATAAAACCAGAAAAAAATACTTTTATAATGCGAAAGAATATAAAAGAAATATTATGACTATCTGAAACAGAGAGCATAAATAATTAACTGGAAATATTATAAAACAAAAATTAAAACCAAATCTACATGTTCTCAAGAACATGGAAAAAAGTTGTCATGAAACAGAGAGTCCTTAAAACACTTTTCTGTTATTCTCACCAAAAGATTTTTTTGGGTAAGAAACAAAAGAATATATTGACTAGCAAAAAGAAATTAAAAATTGTAATTGGATGACTTGTACATGTTAACATTATTATACACATTGAAATCGGTAATTTTGAAACAAATGATAATTTCATTTGTTCTAAACGAATAGGTCATCTTAATTTTTAAAAAGCACCTTTCTGAGAATATAATTATTGAATTTATGTCTTAAAAAAGCGAAAACCTGTCTGAAAACATTTTCCTAACAAGTCCTAAAATAAACCTTCCAAGGCCAAAAGGCATAGGTAGCCGTATAATTTCTTCTCTACTTTTCCCCCCTTTCTCAAAAATGCATCAGTTTCTTGCAAATTCTCAGATAACAGCTACAGTAGCCACATCCTGAACATGTTGACTTTCTTCAAAAATCATCGCAGAAAGATTTGAAGAAAAATAATTTGCTATTCTGTCAAACCATCGAATTATAGATGAAAGCAAACTTCTTCAACAAGAAAAGAGGACAACAGGCACATATATACATCAAAGCATCTAATCCTGAAGAATAAAAATAATGGGAATTGTCTGCAAATCAAGTACAGAAAGAAACCCAAGAAGGACCTTCTCTACTACAGAATTAAGAAACTTTTTCGCATTCTACAGTAGAAGAATGGCACAACGGTAAAAATGCAGCACTTTTTTATATGAAACCAAAACATAACCACTAAACAAAAATCAAGCACGACTAAAAAAGTAATCTAAGAATAGCACAGTAATATTACCAGCGTTCTTTCTGGTTCTAACACACTGTTCAATCTTTCAAGCACACTATCATCAGCAAGAGAAATTTCATCTATAAGGAACATATCACCATCTCTCATTGCTTGCACCAGCGGACCGTCCTGCCAGGTGAAAATCGTCTGCCACTGTTTATGCAACTCTGTAAGCTTCATTTTTATGTGCTCCAGCTCCTTTATGCTGAGACTATTACAGTTCCCCCTGCTTTCTCTAAGAACTTCCATGATACGTTCCAGGGAATCTAGGGTTGAAGACACTTGCCCTATATCGCAAGAAATAGACTAGAAATGCAAACTGTATTAAATAACAATCAATAAAACAACAGTATTAACAAAATAAAGCGGTTACGAACTTACCATCCCAAGACTGTACTCAGATATCTTCAATATCAACTCCTGCACTTCTTTTTTATACTGTGATGTAAGCTTCGATCTCTCTCTATTAGGATAAAACCCCTAATAACAGTTCACGATTATCAAGCTTAACAAACCATGACATTCATAAAATTCAAGCTGCAAGAGCTAAGAATTGTAATAGATTACTTACCCCAATAAAGTCTGACGTCTCCGTGTATTGATGGCAATTCAAAATGTGTAATTTTTTGTTCATATGAGCACTCAACAGTTGACAAATGGTAGTCTTTCCACCCCCAGTTTCACCAACCAAGAGGACAGGTTCACGGTTCCTACCATTTTTATAGCATCTTTCTACAAGAAACCATAATCTTTGCATACTCTTAGTCAAGGTAATACTGCAATTAAAATATTAGAAGTCAGAAAAATGGCCCGTAAAAGCTGCCAAAACAAACTGGAGGAAAGGGGTATCTTTTTGATAAGAAGGAACTGGGTATCTTTAAGCACGTACTTTGGAAGACTCCTTGAAATTACCACACCATCACTCATCCTAATTGAAAACTCCCCTCCATTAGTGTCCTGAAAAAAAATTGTGGATACCCTTCATTAAGCATAAGTTTGCAGTTATCACATGATTAAATATGAAAATGTCAACACCTGACTACGTAATGCATGTTTATGATTTACTATTACTTACTTTGAGATCAGTCACCAAAATATTATATAACCCCCTACAATGCTATATTTGCCTTAAATAAATTTAAAATAAAATAAATAATTAAAAAGAAAGAAAGGTTTCTAAATGAAAGTACTCAGAAAAATTCATTTTCTAAAACCAGTCCAACGTCCTCAAGTTGGGACTCCCCAATTCAAAAGGCCACGGCCACCAACACGAATGGAAAACAGAGGCAGAAGATTACTACAGCAGAAACATACATATAAACTTAAAAAGTCACTGTTCTAGTCTTCGTAGTTTCTTTCTTACGACCAAATTTAGTTTATTCAGCTGAGAAAGAGATACATTTTATTGGACAATTATACTAGTACTAGCCACCAAAACCATTAACAAACAGCATGAACAAGCAAAGAAAGATAAAAATACCTGCTTATACAAGACCTCAGGCACAAGTTTAACTCGGAGATTTCTCTCCAAAACTTCCAGCACCACAGATTTCTCAACCAAATTACGTAATCTTTCTGCTAAAAGATAATAACCATCTCTAGCTAAATCTTCATATGAGCATCCAAATTCCTTGAAACGATAAGCCCATCGAAACAAGTCTCGTGGTGTTATGAATCCATGCTTTCCAGAAAATATTTTACTACTTTGCCTGAATAACTGCAATTCCTTCATCACATCTACCATCTTTTTAGCATAGTTTTGGGGAACTTCACACCTCTTCTCTACTATCGTGCTCAACTCATCTTCTGGTATTTCATCCACATGGATCTCCACAAAACGATTGCGAAAAGCTCGAGAAAGCATTTTACGGCCACTATAGAAAGTGGGAGGGTTTTGGGTGGCAAACAGCATAAAATTTGGATGTGCCTGTATAGTTTCCCTGAGTTCAGGCACAAAAAGTTCCCTGTTGTCATCAAGCAGTCGATTCAATGCTTCAAGCACATCAGAAGGAGCCAAGTTAAGCTCATCAAGGACTATCCAATAACCATTCCTTACAGCCTTAACTAGCATGCCTTCTTGAAACACAAGATTTCCAGAAGAATTAGTGAGGTAAGTACCTAGATATTCCTGCAAATCTGTGTGTTCATGATTATTGATCCTTACAAATTCATGACCTATAAGCCCAGCAAGATACTTAACAAGACTAGTTTTCCCACTCGAAGTGGGTCCTTGCAAGAGGACAGGATATCGCTTGATCAAAACAGCACGTGCCAAGTTCCTAAGCTGCTCCCTGACACTCTTAGTCAATACATAACTCTCGGCGAAATTAGAACGAATGTCCTCTTTTGGAGATAAGTAAGCATCAAAAGATATTGAAGGAGGTATCTTTCCCGCTAACAGATGTGACAAAATCAATTGGTTCATTATCTGCGAACTCGGATGATCCAACATGGTCAAGAAAAACATACAAAAACCATCATATAGCGCTCTAAAGAAACCAAAACGTCTTTCAGCTTTTCGGGTGTATTCGAGAGCACGGTAAAGTGACCTTAAACTATACTGTGGCTTCTGATTAGCGCCATCTTGTAGCTTTTCTTCAGATCCCTTTTTTACTGCTTTATAGAATAATACAATTCTATTTACTAGTTCTCGATTAGCTTGACAGTCATCCATAAATTGACTAACAAATAAAGCCAAATCTTCATCGTCTAGCACCTCATCCACGAAGAACTCCGTAAATCTGCTTCTAAGAGAGACAGGCAAATCACGCTTTCCAGCATCAGTGGCAGGATTCATACAAGCAAATATCCGAAAATTTGGATGTCTAGAAATATAGGTGACATCGCCTCTTTCAGCCAAACAGAGTGATCCGCTATCCCCTTCAAGGACTCCAATAACTCTCTGCAAGGTTTCCGGGGGAGCCAAATTAATCTCATCCAGCAAAATCCATTCTCCGTTTCTAAGTGCAGTCACAAAAGCACCTTCAACAAATGAAAAAACCATCCCAGATGAGGCATCAATCTGCCCTTTGGCAGCTTCAAGCTTCAAAGAAAAATTTTCCCAAGCTTTGATTGAATCTTCAACGTATGGCTTCTTCCGCTTTTTATCAGAACTAGATCGCCCCACTACAATTGACCTCTTGAAAAATTTAACACCTTTCTCAAACCCAGCTAGTAGCATTTTCCAATTCTTATCACCAAAATGCTTTTGCAAACGAGCTAAAAAGTCCCCATTGACCTGAATATTAACATAGAACAAATGAATCACTTAAGAAATACAATACAAGACTAGCAACTACGAAAGGAGAGTCTCTGAAATAGAGGATACCTTTAGAGAGAATGTTTTTGAAAAGAGATCCTCAAATTCCTTGTAAAGGGAAAAGCAAATAAATTGTGCATCAATAGGTTTAAAACCACCTAACAAATCGGCAACGTCACTTTGCTGGCTCAAATTCTGGAAAAAAAAAACAGATAGTAATGGTTCAAAAATTGGAACAACTAAAAAAGTGAATAAATGGAGAAGAATTAGACAGAGAAGCAATATACCAAGACAGTAAATTTATGACCAATCCTTCTTGCCAAGCTCTGCACAAGCGTAGTCTTCCCGGTACCAGTTTCACCAACCAGGAGGACAGGCTCATTATACTTAATAGAGCAAGCTATTCTCTCAAGCACATGCAAAGAACTACGAATCTCAACAAAAGGCTGAATTTTATGGTTCAACTGCACAGTACACATAAGTATAAGCAAGGAAGCCATTAAAATATAGAAACATAAAGGTAAATAATTAAGACTTAACAGTTGGTTGAACTCTTTGAAGATTAACTCGCCCAACTCTTAAATCTGTGAGTGAATCCTGCAACAAATTTGCGAAAGGATAAACTGAATATTACTCAAAAGATAAATATTCATACAAGGTGAAAAATCAGTTGAATGCTCTCCAGTATAACTGTATAAGCAAAAAAACATATGTTACTTAAAATGACATGCAACCTGAACTGCCGGTTTATATTGAGGGTATAGCGTCCCAGGTACTGAAGCATCTCCTACCCATAACTTTGCTATTTCCTTCATAATAGTCAACCGGTTCTCCGCCGAAGTTGAGAAAGCGGCAAATATATCAACTGCCTGAGAATTGAACCGACAGGTTTACCAGTTTTCTATAGCAAAAAAACTCACAACAAGGTAAAGGCACATAAATGACTTATCCATTCCTTTCAATAGATTTTTTGATAGAGCTGTATTATTAGCTCTTACTTGTTGTAAATGCCACTACCCCTTTTATAAATTATAGTCTTAATGACCTTGTAGATAATTGGACAGCTCTTTTACAATCTTTTATCAGGGGTCACCTCTTGTAGTTTCATTCATCAATGAAATCACTTTCTTGCCAAAAGAAGAATAATAATAATATAGGCACATAAATATGACAACATCAAACCTCCTGATAAATGCACTGGCATTGGTAAGCTGAAAAATCATCACCCATAAAACTGAAACCCAAACCTGCAATGCGTTTGCACCATTTAAGAAGATCCCTGTCATCAAGTCCCATAACAACCTATTAAATCCAGGCAAAACAAAGCAGCATACCAAAAAAATATATATATATATTTAAATACCTTAATGAGAACCGGTTAGGATAACTAATTGAAGAAGATTCTTCACAGCGAAATCCAAGAAGTTGTTGGGCATAAGAATTCACCCTTTGCAAAGTTTCTACCAAATGAATAAGAAAATAAATAAATTAACCACGTGTAACACTTGTGCAATGAAAAGCAAGGTTCAGAAATCCCTGCAAGAAAATTCAGACTCACCAACTAATTTTGATGCAATAGACTCAAGAGTTGGATACTGAATTTTAACTATACTATGTAAGTCCTCATTGCTTGGAGGGCCAATCATCACTTTCCTCCAAAGCATACCAATTGTACTTCCACCTGCCGCCATATTAGAGAGAGAGAGAGTGAGAGAGAAAACTATCACCTGTAAGTACTTTTCCAATCGACAAAACAATGCACGTATGCAAAACCTGAATGAAACAATATGCATGTCCATTTATCAAAGAGATAAGAGGAAGAGAAAATGGGAAAATAGGGGGCCAGGAGGAACAAAGAGCAGCTACTTTTAGTTTTTACCAACAAATTACTTGAAATCTAATCATCAAGTGCAATCTAGCAAATGCATGGCTATAGTGCATAACTCCACATAGAAAGCACAATAATAGATATTTAGGAGCAGAATAAATCAAGAACGCCTCCTCAATCCTCTTTGTTTTCAGTAACAAGTGTGTGTGTGAGAGAGGAGAGAGTGAGAGAACAGAGGATTGAAACCCAAAGAGTTCAGAGATATGAGGGGAGGAAACTGAGTCCCAGAATAAATGTTCAAGCATTGCAACTACAACGCAGAATCGAAGTTAATGCTCTACAACCAAACTCAATAATATCATTCGTCCTACAAGTGTTTTCTAAAGCATGTGGCCCACTAGTGCAGTAGGTCTTAGGGCTTCAGCATAAAGCACTGGATTAAAAAGTTAAATCTTAACAATATAAAAATATATTTTTTTAAATGTAAAATTAATTTATATTTTTTATAAAAAAGCACACTTTTCCAAAAAAATTATAAGAAGCTGAGAAATATTATTAAAGAGAGAAAAAATCATGGAGTTACAAGATGGATGCCCGTCCCATTAATCCCACAAATAATTGTGAGATTTCTACTCGTCTTTGAAGAGCGGTTTTTCTAAAAGAAATCACAAAATTTACTCAGAGAGCAAAGTAGTCCAGCCAGTGTAGTGGAGTACTGTAACTCCACACCATGGTTCCAAAACTTCCATATAAAATGCAAAAAGTTGAAAAGGGATAAAACTTTTATATAGAAATAATGGCAGAAATAATAACAATAAGGAAATCAAAATAAAATGCTACATTAGTTCTACAAACCTTCTTTGTTCTGAAATTGATCCAGTATATAGGCTGATATGGTAGCAAAAAGCCTAAAATTTTTCCCCACCTTTACTTCCTGCAGATGTACCCATCAATTTTCTAGATAAGAAACAAGTTCCATCAAAGAAACACAGGAAAAACAAAATTGAAGATAAGCGATCCTTCCCCCCTCCACGGCCAAGGGGAGCTTTTTTTATAGGAAACGGAGAAAAGCTTGTATTTTATAAGCCAAACTTTAAGGGAGGGGGATGAGATATCCTCACTAGACCAGAGAGTTGGTGAAAGAAAGTTCTAAAAAGAAACTTTACTTGCCAATAATCTTAGAAGGGACTAACTGTAAAAAGTCCATGGAAGACAGTAAACGGCAAAGCCAAAATTTACTTTTTCTTTAGTTCAAACATTTGGGGTGGGAATTCGAATCTCCAACCTTTTAGTTGATGATATATGCCTTATTGAGCATAGTTCAAGTTTGCAAGCCAAAATTTATATACAAAATTACACATCCTAAAAATTATATATACTGGTGCAGAGTGCAAGGGGAAAATGCACAAATGACATGATATAAATACAGGCAGTTCATCTGAATAAGATGGATGGGAGATCATATGAGAGAGGAGGAAACAACAAACAACAAAAAAATAACTAAACTGAACTGTGACCCTTTTTCTCCCTCCCTTCTTGTCAATGTCATGGACACGTGTTAATAGACTTCTGAAGAAGGCTTGTAATAGTGGAAACTTGGAAGAGAGAACAATGCACAGGATGCTGATCTTCCACTGCCACTACTTAAGTCAAAAACTGTGGTCAAAAAGCTCCTAAATTCCTTTGGGATTTCCAATGTTTCATGGTGAAAATTATTCAGAGTCCATTAAAATGGAAATTGAACCATCCACGAGACTGACCATTGCATAGCTGGCCAACAGAACTGAATTTGTTTAATAAAGGAACCAACTATGTTGAATATTTAGTGCTGGTAGGCACCTGCTGGAATTTTATCTGTCAAAGGATTTTTATTTTAGGAGAAACAGAGTTTATTAATGAAATGAAATGGTAAAGATGTACAAAAGGGGAAGATCCCAAACAAAAGGAGTTACAAAAAGGCTCTCCAATTGGTCAAAGGAAATTCTCAAGAGTTTGTCTCAAATGTTGGTGGATAAGCACCTACTAAATTGGACTTTCATTTTCTCAGAACTCTAGGTAGAAACTAGAAGAAAAAAGTGTAGCAGACTTGGAGGTCTTTTGAATCTTCTCAAATACCGAAAAAACAGATATAAAGTTTTCAAACCTGCAGTTCTTTCTCTTGTTGGTTTGGCAGAGCTTGAAACTAGCAGCAAAAAGAGGCCAAGATTGGGAAACCCTGTTGGCTGTTACTTAAACGTAATTGCGAGATTATCACAAAGTCGAGACTTTTCACAAAGTCGAGACTTTTTTTTAACAAGAAACGAACTTTTCATTGATAAATGAAAAGGAACCTAAAATGTCCAAAGATACAAACTGGAGTGAGAAAGACAAAGTCAAGACATTGTTAAGTCAGTCAGTCAGACAAGCCCTCCAACCAACCAGAATTGGTTTTGCAAGTTTCAACAGATATGGTATATTTTTCAAATTTTTAGTTTCACCTTCCATGAGGGTGCAGCTCAAAATGTGAAATAGGTGTACCGATTTCTTAGAATCTAAACCCACGATATGAGAGGATTGGACGGAAGAAATCTAGATTTCATGGGTAGGGAGAGAGGGTGGGAGTTAGTGAGATTGGGAAGGAGGGAAAGAGAGAGTACAAGAACAAAGTTATGCTGATAAATCTAGAATTCTTGGACTGTGTCATTCTATTTCCCAATAATATAAGAGATAAAGGGATCATCAATGGTATAAGAATCAATGACTAGCTAACAGAAATAGAGTACAAGAACAAAGTTATGCTGATAAATGAGAAGAGCAACCAAAAAGAGATAACCAAAAACCCCGATGACTCGAAAAATTCAATAACCTGAACCAGATTAAGTTATGAAACAAATATAATTCAGTGGCGTATAAATTAGAATCCTTATTAGGTAAAGCTGGTTGATAATTCACCTACTTTTCTTTTTTTTTTTTTAAACAAGATACAAACTTCTCATTTATTAATGAAAAGGAACAAATTGTTCAAAGGATACAAACTCCTAACGATAGCGAAGAAAACTAAAAGACAAAAAGACAAAAGCAAAAGGCGAAATAATACATTCCTGATTCCAACTTAAGCAACTATAATGGAAAAATAACAGAGTAATTCTCCTACTTTTCTTAAAAAAAAATTGGGCAAGAAAACAAAACAACTCACACATAAAGCCCAAAATTACAATGAACGCTTGTCCATAAGTCCTTGAAGAATTATTTTTCATTAAAAATAAAATATTGCTTAGTACCATCTTTTATTCAATATTTTTATTGAAATCTATGGGGAAAAGTACCTCCCCATGCCCAGTTGAGAATTTGTTTCCACCTTCTAGTAGTGGCAATAGAATGGAATGCACATCAGATGGCGCCTTGTCCACATCCTCAAGAACAACCCAAAGTCCATTCTGAACAGCCTGGAAAACCAAAATACATAGTGGTCGAAACGACAAACATATATGAATAGCATAATAAATATATGTCTCAATAAAACAAAACGCACCTGTGTAAGTGAACCAGGCTGCCACCTAAACTCACCAGGGCGTTCCGCACAAACATAACTTCCAATCAACATCTTACCGTCAATTTGGTCATCCATGTGGATGAAAAGAACTGAGAAAAAAGAAAGAAATAAAAAGATTATCAAATGAGGATATCCAATGTAATATCTTGTAAGGAATTTGTGAAGGTTATCCGGTGTCAAAGAATATTCAAAGCAAGTGACCCAAGACCTCTAAGGGAAGAATAAGGATAAGAGGGAAGGTAAAAAAAATTAAGTTGGGAGGAAAATAGAAGCTCAAATCTCAACAAATTCAAGAATCAAGAAAAGTTTTAATTAAAAAATTTGACAACATAATGCTATTTATAATTCAAGAATCCTGGTCTAAATAGAACTCTAAGGGCTAAGAAATCCAAACAGAATTCCTCATAATTGATCTCCTAATTTAAAATTATAAACTGACCACATATCCACAAAATCACATAAGAGATTCGATTTCCTTAACACAACCCCCAAGTTAATATGATGCAAATTTCAAATTCTCAAGAAGAGGAAACTGGAATACAGGCCAGTCTGTTTATAATACAAAACTAAGAAAAGTTATCATAAGACATAGGACAAAGATAATCTACTCTATTATTTTCTTCGTAATTATTCACTTCTTGACAGGATAGGAACAAGACGAAGAATATAAATATATATTATATTTTAATGAAATTGTCATCAGCCCATATGAAGCAGATGTGAGCTTGAACATTGCACATCTATAGCAATGGACCCGTCATTAAACATTCTTAAATCGTCTTGTTCCAAGATCAAGTAAAAGGGCACGATTGAGACTAGATATACACATTAAGACAGAAGGATCCAAATAAATCATGTCAACTGAACCGCAAAAACAATTACCACCTTGGTTATGGCTATCACTGGCTATCTTGTTTATGAGAGCAGATTTCCCAGCTCCAGGGGGACCATACAAAAGAACTGGCCACTTTTGACTCAATGCCAACATAACCATCTCATAACTTTTCTTTATAGATGATGTCATAACAAATGAATATTCAGCTAGCTGACCGTCCCTGTATGAAGTAAATTATTACATCAAACATAAAGAAAGGAACAAAGAAAAAGGAATCCCTAAATAATTGCTAATTATTGCTAATTAAAAAATATGGAATCTTGACAAAAAATAATTCTGTTCTTGTTCAAAAAAACAGAGTGTGATAGTACTACCATGTAGCAAGCCGTTGACTTCTCATTGGTCGTTCAATCTCATCATGATCCAATGAGAAAATGGCAGAACCACTGAAGCTACAGTTGCCAAGCTGGCAGTTTTCTGAGCTAAAATCAGCTCTTATGCCTTGAGAATCCAAATCTTCCTCAAATAACTCAATATACAAGCCAGCTTTCTCCAAGGATACATCCTGACAAAAATCTTCCCATCTGCAAATGACAAAAGCAGCATGAAGCTTGTACAAGTACTTTTTGTTATATTACAGAAAACACCAAGGTTAGGACCAAACCGCAGTAAGCAAGCAAATGTTTCTTCAGACCCAGAAGACCATTTTGTGGTTGCTTCATAACCCAACTTGAGCACAATCGACAATATCTGTATCCCACACCATCTTATATCAGATAAAACTCTCGAATGGTGTTGATCAATGTTCGATAGCTGCTTCATGAGGTCCAGAAAACACGACCAATCCCAGAGTTCGGTAAAAGTTTCAGACTCCACCAGTAGGAGGCGGTAAGACAGTCGAACAGCAAGCAGTGCACTCTAGATGAGGGAAAATCAACAGGTGGGTTATCTTCTTCAAAGGTAGACAGCAGTAAAATTTTGTATGAGGGAGAGGAACATGCTTGAAACAGCACCAATATCCAGGCAAATAAATTATTGACTGCTGGTTGAAGGTTTTTTTACTAAGAAACGGGATTTATAGACAAAAGGCAAAAAAGAGTAGACCCTATGGGAAGAGAGGTTGAAAAAACCCCCACCCAAAAGAGCAATTACAAGTTAATTAAAAAAAACCACTATGATTACCCAAAAAAATATTTTTTTAAAAAAATGTAGGGTACTACAACAAGGGGCCACGAACAATACATGTTTGCAAAAATCAAGGTCTTTCTATTTTTTAATGTTCTTTGGTAAGGATCTTTGGTTTCTTTCCCTCCAAATAAGTCACAATAACACCCTAGCCACACAACTCCAAAGGATTTTGGTAAGTGATTGTTTTAGTAAAACCCATCACAATAAGTACACACATACGCCCAATCAGTGTCAATCAACATCCCTACATACTCCCCTTATATCTCTAAAATCCTAGCAAAGTAGCTATAGGTGGGAAAGGTTATTAGAGAGTTTCGGTGGGATGGGCAAATCTCTAGCAATATGGAATGCAGTTACTCAACCTTTGGAGGTTGCCACCTCAGTCACTGGTAATGAGACTTTGTTAGCAAAGTGAATTGGAGATACCCTGCAGAAGGTGAAGCCCTTTAGTATATTATTTCGAGTAAGTATGAGAAAGATGCTAGCAGCTCGTTAACTGGATGGGGTTGTTATTATAGCAATCATAGACGTCTCTGGTTTTCCATTGTTAACTGTCACAAAATCACTCAGGAGAAGTAACTATTCAAAATGGTTTGCATGGGGATCTTGTGAAATTTTGGGAGGAAAAATGGCTGATAAGGTCATTTGATGTTCTTCCTTATGCCATGGTAAACAGTAAATATATGTTCGGGACTGCTGAATTCATCGGGACCGGAGAGTGGAATCTTAAATCTCATAACCTAGGATTTGGTGTTTTCTGCCAGTTCCCATAAGGTGTATGGAAAATAAGTGCCTCAAAAGATGAATATCTTTATATGAACCTTAAGTAATGAAAGCATCGACATAAATCATAAATGACAAGAATCAAAGAATAAATACAACTAATTTTTACTTTCTGTGGTGATACATTTGGACAAAGAGAATGGTGAAGATGCTGACCATTCGTTTTTTATGGGAAACTAACTTTCCTTAAGAAGATGAAAAATTCTAATCATTTGTTTATTTCATGTCATTTCTCTTGGAGGTACGGAAAGCCCCATTTTGGAAGGATTTGATTTCAGCTTTGAACCGTCCTAATCTCACAATTTTTATACTTCAATTAAGACCACAATTTGGAAGGTTTGGTAAGAAAGACATGGAAAAATCTTTCAAGGGGTCAATAAAGAATTTTCTCAAGTTTTTTGGGATATACTTTATCTCTTTGCCTCCTCTTTGGATGCCCTAAGTGAGGTTTTTTTCTATTAAATCAATGCCAGTTGGCGCATAATCTCTCTTGGCCTATGTTTGAGAGGATATCTGATCTTCATGTTTTCCATTTTAATGACAATTTGTCCCTTACTCAAAACAACACACATTAAAGATGCATACCTTGTTACAAACCTCGGAACTTGTTCCTTTGATCACAATGCGTTGAAAAGGGCATGGAGCAAACTTGAAGTAATCTAAAATAGTCCTGTTCAAACAGTGAATGGAAATATTACATGCATATTGACTATGAAAAACACATACGGATGCACCAAACAAAACAAATCCAAATTGAAATCAGATAGCAAGTTCACAAACATAAAGTTTGCCTACTCCCTTAGAAGTTAAAATATAAAGAACTGATAACTACATGCAGGAAAAGCAATTAGAAGATCAATGATCCATGGGTGAGAGAAGGGGAGACTATTAAAAATACTCATAAAAGCCGTGGCTGCATAAATTTAAATGTGTGATGGCCACACTGAAAAATTCTAATAGAAAGAAACTACCAATTTCTGTTTTACAAGGAATAAGAGATGCTACCAAATGGCCACCCACAAGCATAAATGTTCTGTTTCAAATAAATTGTGGTGCAGGAAAGAATCAAATGGTGTGCCCCAATTTAAAGAGTGAAAACAAGGCTAGGTGTTACTCAAAGATGTCATAAGCCTTTAATATTGAGCAACCAACGTAACTAATAAGTAATTTAATTAATTATAATAACACTGAAAGTTGAAACTAGGTAAGCAGTAAGCTATCCTATAATTACGTCGACTGGAACTAAATAAGCCATGAGCCAAAACTAAGGAGATGAGTGACAAACCCTAATAAAAAGGGGGCCAAATCAAGGGCACGACAAAATGCTAGACAAGCAAGCTCGTGAAGATCAAGCCCCCTCCCTCTTTGGTCATAAAGCGAAATTATATTGACAACTCCATTCAGGTCCTCTTCGTGAATTTTGGAAGCTGTGATATCTGAGTTTGATCTCAAATTGGGCACAAGTCTTAGCAATCCTACAACTCTGACCAGAATCTTTTGAGCTAATGGGCGGAAACAACCTAACAAAGTTATTGAATGATTTGGATTCAGAAACAGCTCTGCTGCAATACTCAACGCTTCCTCTTCAGTCACTGCATATCCCTATAAAAGCCAGAGTACAAAAAGGAGAGTTAAGATATAATAAGAGGCAGAGAAACAAATCCTTCAATTCCCGGCAGTAATCTCATATCGATCATAGGAACGGTCAAAAGGACTGATATTAAAATTGCTACGTTGTTGTGGTATTTCAAATACCATTTGAGAATCATGCTCTCAAAATTACCAAACATTATATGCAATATTGGGAAAACATACCTCTTTGATAAGCATATCAAACGGTGAGAGATGTGTAAGAGCTGGACAACGGTAAAGAAATCTTTCCAGTGCGGATTCAAGCTTAAATCTCCCGTCAATGGCCATTGAATACTGTATTTCTCCAAACTACAAAAACTGTGACAGAGTAAATATATAATTAGTGAAGTAACTTATTCACAAAATAATTGGTATAAATTATGCGTATTTATAAATAATTCAAGCCGCAGTGATAAGAAATTCCAAGAGCAACTCTCCCGTCTTCCCAGCCTCAACCTGTCCATGCAACATGATCAACCATCAGCAGAGTAAATATTAATTCAA